GTTATTGCAGACAAGAATGAAACCACATATCACACAACAGTTGATTGGCCACTGCAATGCAAAAATGTCAGGGATGGGTGTGTGTGTGTGTGTGTGTGTGTGTGCGTGTATTGGGTTTAAATTCAAGACTTCTTCCTCCTACATTAATACATACTTGGCCTGGCACTTGATAGCTTTGAAGCTGAGCAGTTCCTGGTTCCCACTTTCCCCAGTTCAACCCTTATGTGGAGAGGTTTGGAATTATCATAAATTTGGGGTCATCTGAAGTTGGGAGACATGCTTAGCAGTGAGGTTACATCATTCTAGGACATAGCTCATTGTGTTAATACTGAAAATTCTAGCTGACATTGTTGCAGGGAGCAGCAATAAATGGTGATTTGTGAAATAACAGGGTGGAGAAAACATCCAGATCATGGCTTCTGGAATTTTTCCAGCCTTTTCAAAATAGGTCGGCTTTAGGCCATGTGACCTAAAGGGAAGGAAAAGCGAGGGGTGCCTAGAATGCAGAGCAGCAACTTTCAAAGCTCCTACCAAACTGCCTCTTCCCTAGGGATGAATTAAGGAATTGGGGGGTGGGGGGTGGATTTTTTCTCTGCAGCCCCTGGACAAATCCAACCGAGTTTTGAACTTGATATTTAGTCCTGGTATGTTTTGTTTTCAGAGCGTTATCCTGCAGAAAAAGCAGATAGAAAACAGAGAGCCCCAAACCTCTTTACATATTTTCCCTTTAAATATTTTATTCCCAACATTCAACTGGGTTGGAAAGAAGAAACATGACAGACAAGATCACTTTGCCATTCATCATTGGAATTTGGATTTTACTATCACAAAGGTCTATCTCAAAATTAACTAATTCTATTTCTGCTTTTCTGCATCATAGTTGCCCCACACATTTGTTTTTTGAACCCTAGTGAGCTTTATTTGGCCACATCTAGAGCAGAGTTATTTTTGAAAGCCAATAGCAGAATATATTAGATAATGGTGTGTTAGGATTTTATGTGTGTTTTCCTCCTATTTATATATGGTTTTAAGTGCTTTGAAAGCTGAGAATGTGTAAAACTAGGATTCTTAAAATGGAAGAAAATCATTTGTAAATTTAGTTGTAGAATTAATGTAAATGTAAGAAATAGAGAAAACAAGAGGGAAAATAATACTTTTTTTACTGCATGTTTGTAGATGAACTCTCTTTCTCATTTAATTATTGTGGTTTCCTCAAGAGCAAAATCAGAGCTTGTTTAAACAGCTTTCCTTTTGCAAAGGCTACTCGTGTGGGTCTGCAAGGGGAGGATGGGGCAGGGACAGCAGGAATGAGGATATAAGTGCATGTCATCCTTTCTATACCTTCCCCAGTGGTGGTTATGGACACCTGTGATACCACTTCACAGTTTCTACAGTAAGATCATTTTATTCCAATACGCCTGTCGCTTTCACATGGCAAATAATAAATTCCCCAATTACTCTCTCCTGACATTATTTTTCCTCAGTATTCTGCTTTTTCCCCCAATTATATTTCTGTGCATGCACGATTGCAGTTTATATGCAGTATGAAGTTCTGCATATAAACTTCAATCACCTACTGGTGTTACACCTAGTGGTGTGACGCCTCTTATCATTGGATGTAGCTTTGGAATCTGTTTTGGCTGTGGAATATATTTTGACCATTTTCTTCCATTGCTTCCTTTGACCTTACAAGGAAAGAAGAGGTGGGCTGACAGGAAAACTAGCAAAGCAAAGGACAAAAATGTTTCCAACATAAAGCCAACCTTGATATTTGGTGCAGTAAATTAGTATACTGCTTACTAAAAGACGATGAGCTGCCATTCTAAAATATGTGGCTTATAGCCTTTTTTAGGGTTCTCTTCACCTGTGTCCTTTTGTTTGCCTCACTGTGCAAAACTAGCAGCACAGAAAGCTACTGCTTGAACAAGTCACCTTGCAACAGTAACCTCTCCATCGTGGTATATTTATATAATTCTTATGATACTGAGCAATTGTTTCAAATATACATACCATTTAATGTATGTATGTATGCATTTATTTTTTAGCCTTTTAACATTGTCCATGGGGTTTTCTTGGCAAGGATACTGGAGTGGGTTGCCATTTCCTTCTCCAGTGGACCACATTTTGTCAGAACTCTCTGTCATGACCTGTCCGTCTTGGGTGGCCCTGCACGGTATAGCTCATGGCTTCACTGAGTTACGCAAGCCCCTTCGCCACGACAAGGCAGTGATCCATGAAGGGGGGAGAGTTGTGTACCCGGAGATAAAGAGGAAAGAGAGGATTTCGACACTCCTGTATCCACGAGAAATACCACCTCTTCTCCCAAGGATCCCACTGTTAAATTGATTGAGGGCT